GTCGTAAAGTTGAATTTATTTATGCAGATTAGTAGTGCAGATAGTAATAATAATGATGATAAATTTTAATATAAAAAAACGTTAATGATTATGATTATTATTAATGATATTATTGATAATCAATCGTTAATTCTCCCGACGATCGATTAAGAAAATTTTAACTAATGCCCATCCCTAGTTGTTAACTCATCAAAAAATACCAGGAGTTGTGTTTTGTTTCATTCACACACGTTTGCGTAATCCTTTATTATTAGTCTGTCTACATCTCCAAAGCTCAAAATGCTCTGTTCCACCTTGTGATGTCATGAAGCTGTAGTTTTCAAGTTATGAAAGCATCCAAATGATTCCAGTGAAGGTGTGTGGAGTGTAATAACATCGTGGAGCACTTCCTGTATTACCACATGACAGCATGACATCACCATGTGGAATAAAGTGTTGTGGGTTTTTGTGTTAAACATGCGTAAACGAAACAAAACACAACTCCAAGTGTGTTTGTGATGAGGGAACAGCATTAAAAAACAGGTCAGAAATTACCGTAATATGAGCCCTTTAAATTATATATGTGAGCTTATATCACAGCAATATGCATACAATCTGTTTACTCAGTTTTATATCATCCCCAAACTTTTTTTTTTTTTTCACATTTTTGACAGCAGCATTTTGAGCTCAGCGTGATCTGACATTAAAACAGTGAATCTGGCGTTTCTCTCTCGACAGCTGATGGGCCTGCACCAGACGCTGTACCATCCGCTCCCGTACAACTGCTACAACTGCAGAGGATTTGAATGAGCACTCCTCTAATTTGACACCGAGCGACTGGGCGACTGATGGCACAGACTGTGAGGAGTTGGTGGTGACTGGGTTGGCTTCATTAGCTACATCCCATCGAGCAGGTGTAAAGACTTTAGAGTTTTTTTATTACAGTTTTCTGACAGAAGCAGAGGAACATGTGTTTTGATGAGAAGATACTGTAACACTGAGGGTCAGGAGATTATCTCAGTGCAGTGATGAAGCATGTAACCCAATCATAACCCCAGAACTATTTATTTATACTTTAACTTTAACTATTTATTTATACTAGACTAATATTCAATTTTCTCATCTACACTGCAAAAACTGGAGGGTTAAAATTTCAGGGTAAAATATTTCAGATTTAACACAAAAAAGTGTTATTTTAACTATTTGAAAGTTAAATGGGAGTTCAAGTTGGGGTTATTTATCAGATTATTTATTATTATTTATTAATGTTATAATATTTGGTTGAAGTTTATTCAAGTTCCCCTAGTGTTAATTCAAGTTCCCTTAGTGTTAATTTGGCACCTCCCATGCACCACTTCAAACTTCCGTGATAGAAGACCAGTTTGAACCAGTTTTGTACATAATTTAATTTTAAATTAACTAAAATAAAGTGTAAAAATAAAACACCTCTGTGTTTTGTTTAGCTAAATCAGGATAACCCTACAAAGTGTTATCCATTTACTCTCAAAACATTAATATAATTCTTGATTTCAGGATTAAACAGGAACTTTGGTCCAGTGTTATTTAATTTAAAGTTTTACTTAATTTCCAAAAATGTTAAATTAACTCATATTTATAAAACAGATTTGACTCATATAAACCCTGAAAATAAAATTGATCCTGTGTGAGACAATTTTAATACTCCACTTTTTGCTGTGTATTTTATAATGTTGTTTTCTCAGCAGAAATATATTTGTTGTGTTTTGTTTCTTTCACACATGTTTAACACATAAACTCAGCATATTTAGGTGGAGCTCTTCTCTCAAACAGAAACACTGTTCTACTTTGTGCTTTCATGTGGTAAGTGCTCCACTGCATTTTTAAACTCATTATTATTTCATTATTATGTTTATTTATTTCGGACAGTAATACATAGAACATAAATTAAAAAAAACAAAACAAAAACGAAATAATAAAAAAAAAACAAGAACGTAAATACATAGATATAACACAAAAAGTAACTATTTCTATTCTATAATAACAGGCAAAATAAATGTTACGCAGAATTTTCCTTGTGTCCGAAAAAGGAGTGGGAGGAAGTAAATACTTATTTAACCCCACCCCTTTTTTCTACAGTCCCAAATTAACGAAGAACAAATACAGACTTCTCATTTCCTGTACATTATAAGCAATAATTGCACAGTACCTCCACTGCATTACAATCTAACAGACAACAACAAATATATGTATATTATGTACACAGATATAGTACACATCATATACACAGATATAATATATACATACCTACATACACATCACATACCCATGCATACCTATATATATATATACATATATACACCCATATACATACACATACATATACATACATATACATGCACACATATACCCTAAGCACTCATTTCTTCCGCACAGTATTTTGAAATAATTAATTTTTTAATTGCCCTTTTGAATACATGTATATTCGAACAAAGTTTTAATTCTATTTTCAAGTTGTTCCATAATTTCACACCACAAACAGAGACACAAAAACTTTTTCTTGTCGTTCGAGCACGAGGCAATTTAAAATTCAAAACGCCTCTTAAGTTATAGTTTGTTTCCCTTTCACAAAAAAGTAGTTGAAGATTTTTTGGTAAGTGCTTATTTTTAGCTTTATACATGACTTGTGCAGTTTGGTACAGAATCAAATCATTCAGTTTGAGTAATTTGGCATGAATAAACAGTGGATTAGTGTGGTCATGAAATTTGACATTATAAATAATCCTTTTTGCTTTTTTTTGAAGTTTTATCAATGGTTCTATTGCAGTTTTATAGTTATTGCCCCAAATTTCTGCACAGTATGTTAAATATGGTAAAACCAGTGAACAATAAAGTGTGTGTAGTGCTCTGTGATCTAAGACATACTTTGCTTTGTTTAATACTGCAATACTTTTTGATATTTTATTATGTATATATTGGATGTGGGCTTTCCAGTTAATCTTCTCATCAATTATGACCCCTAAAAAATTTATTCTCCTTGACCTGCTCTATTCTTACACCTTGTATCTGTAACTGTATTTTTTCTTCCTTATAATTCCCAAATAGCATTATTTTAGTTTTATTCAAATTTAGAGATAATTTATTTGTGTCAAACCATATTTAGCTGTATCATTTCAGATGTTATATCAGCCAATAACTGTTGTATGTTGTCTCCATAACAAAATAAATTTGTGTCATCTGCAAATAACACTGCTTTAAACAATGTAGACACTTTGCATAGATCGTTAATATATAAAATAAACTCCATACACCTTCAGTAAAATCATGAGGATGATTTCAGTCCTGGAATTTCCAATCTCTACTGAACTAAAGTTAAAAGGCAGTTGTGGACTTGCAAACTACCACTGGAACCGATCATGTTGAGATTTGGAGATCTAGACAGACTAATAATACAAGTTACTCAAACATGTGTGAATGAAACAAAACACTGCAGAGACAGTTACTGGTTCTTACAGCACATTTTTTACATCATTTCTGATATAAAAATTGCAGGCTCAGTGGATGAGATTGGATGCTAAAGACTCATCCAGTGTCTGTCTTAATTTGTTGTTCTAAAAGGATATTTCATAATTGGAATCAGCCAGAATTTGAGTTAGTACAAACAAACAGGTGTGAAGACTTATGTAAGAGTTTTTTTTTTTTTTTTTTTTTCTTACAGTTGTTTTGACAGAAGCAGAGGAACATGAGTTTTGATGAGGAAATGCTGTAAAGCTGTGACTCAGGAGTTTTTCTCAGTGCAGTGATGAGCCGTGTGACCTAAACATAACCCCACTATTACACTTATTTATGACCTCTTATAGCTGAAATATATTTTTATTACTTTATTTTGATATATTACATTATTTTTACTTGTACATTTATATAATTATGCCTCATTTGATACATAACACTTGCTGTTTTTGCTACTTATTTAGTTTAATTTATTATCTATTTTTTTTACCATTAAAAAAAAAAAAAAAAAAAAAACATTAAAAAGTGCTGTGATACTGATGCTGTTCTTATGCACAGTGTTGTTCCATACACGTTATGAAAAGTTGCTCATGTTGGAAACCACACCATCGTTTTCCTAAAGCTGTAACTGTCTTATAAGGAAAACAAATGCATAAAATTGATGGCATAAAACACTTAACATTTTAGAATATTTTAGAAACATTTTACCTATTTGTTAAGTTTGGAACTCTTAGGAACTGACTGTGGTTAATAACTTATGCAAACTGTTTACATCACATTAAAAAGACTTAAATTAGAAACATTATTTGAGTAGATTCAACTTGTCAAGTAAAATGATCTATCAATGGAATAAGTTAGTTTTTCTTAATTTAAGCAACATCCAGGTTTGTTTCTTATTTTAAGTGCAAAGATGAGTAGCAAAGATGTATTTTCATATTTTAAGTACAAAAAGTCTTGTTCCATTGATAAATTATTTACTCAAGTCATGATAAAACTTTCTTAATTCAAGCCATCTTAATTTTGTTTTTTGCAGTGTAGTTTATATCTTGTAATAATCATACAATTATACTGTTTTATTTGACCAAAATCAAATAATAATTTCACAATTTAAGTTAATCTATTTTCTAAAAGTTTCAGTAAAGTTGATGTAAATATGATTAAAAAACAGATAACTTTCCCTCTACAGTGTATACGGCCTTGTTCTGTTCGTCATTGTATTGTTTTTCACTTGAACAGTAGTTCAGGACTACATCAGTAAAGTGAGAAATGCTTGTATTTTTTGTTTATACCAGTGCTTTTGGAAAAGCATCAGTGGAAGCCAAGTTTACTCATAATAAAACACAAGTAGCATTGTTGGTAATTGGCAAAAAAATATAGGACTGCACATAACAAAACATATAGTGTGTGAATACGGAGATAGGGCTGTTTTGCAAAACTACTTTCTCAATTTTTTTTTATGGTAAAAAGACTCAGTTTGCTCTTTTGAAGCTACTTCCTGTCAAAAACACAATTCGAGATGCACAGCCCACATTTGGGTGTGAAAGCTTATATGTATGTGCAAAACACTGAAAAAAGGAAACGCATGGGTGATAGGTCGGGCTGTCTGCAGTGTCTGAGAAGCAGGGAAGCCACAGCAAATACGACTGAAACTGTGACACAATTTTTGAGCTTCACAAGCTCCAAACACGACCAAAAAGACGACAGGCAGAAGCAGGTAGATTCTGAAGACTTCGAGAGCTCTGAGAGAAATGGAGAACCTGGCTGTGTTTCACGGGCCAATCGGGATGGGAGAGGGAGAGAGGAGACTGGCCCAAGACGGACGCGATGGGTGCTACCTGGTCCGGACTAGTGACTCTGTGCCTGGGTCCTACTGCCTCTGTGTGCTGTGAGTATAAAGGATATTACATAAGACTGGAGAGTTAATACAGAAGAAATAATACTAGATACATAATACTCCGTACATAATACTGGATACATGTCATCGTCATCGTAGTAGCAGTAGTATTTTATTTTCTTCAGTCATGTACTTAATCATGTACTTAACAGGCTGTTACAAACAATTCATATGAAACTATGACTAAAGGGTTTTGAAAAGGAAGACAAACTGAAATAGATTAGTGATGCAAAAGTGCACTGCAAAAAATAATATCTAGGCATGTTAAAATTACTTCAATTAAGCACATTTGACTTTATTTGAAGTAGATTTAACTTGTCAAGTCAAATGACCTACCTATGGAATAAGTGTGTTTTTCTTAATTCAAGCTACATTTCATTTTGTTTCTTATTTTAAGTGCAAAGAGTTGTTTTTTCTTATATTAAGTGTGGCAAAGATGTACTTTTTTGTATTTTAAGTACTAAAACTCTTAGATCATTTTACTTGTCAAGTGAAATTTACTCAAATCATGATACGATTTTCTTAATTTAAGTAATTTTAAGTTGGCTTGATTTTAGTGTTTGCAGCGTGAGTGAAAAGGCTCTCAATGTAAGGAAAGGAACAGATTTTTAAGAGTAAAAACAAAACGAAATTGTCTCTTGCCCCCATCTCGGAGCATCACATTAAAGAATCTGAAAACCACCAGTATTATGCACTACTTTTATGTCACCTGCTTGTTTCTGTGGATATGTCATTGCTCTACCTGCTTTACTTTCCATTTATTCAATCACAGCTGGTTTTATTGCTCAAAAATTACCTAGAAAAACAGGCATCCTGACTGTGAGCGGGGTCGCCTCTCCGCAGATCTGACCTGTAACTTGGTCTGGTCTGGTCTGTTGTCCATGAAGATAGCAAGGTTTAATACCAAACTATGAAACATTCCGGACAAAGCAAAAACATCTCCGTGAAGAAAAGGATGAGGCCAGCAAAATGAAAAATGAAAAAAAAAAGTGAAGATTCATGCATTTGTTTTGTGATATAAAAATAACAGATGTTTTCAAACTTTTTAGTAACTCTTAAACAACTTTTTATTAACTCAGACATGTTATAAGATTTATATTTCAAAAACTGTAGATCCGTGTAGCTGTTTTGTAATAGAATGTAATAACCTTTTGTATGGAAAAACTATAACAAAAATGTCTAAAATACTGTGTGATGGTGCAACATATATACACTACATTTAATTAATTTATTTTTATGATTTGTTATTATTATTTTTTTTTAGTTTTTGCTAGTTTTCATGACTTCACAAACTTAATTTAAATAATAACGAACTGCTAGTCATTTCGCGTGAACAGTAGCTCACAGAAACAGCCCACACAGTCCCAAAGAGACAAAAAAACACAAATATTAGATGAGACTTACCTTTATGAAGGACAACAGTATATAAGTCAACAGACCTCAGCAAACGTAACAAAGTCAAGTGAAATCGATGTCGTAGAATATGGGACAAATATAAAACATTTGTGTATCCTGTCCATTGTAACCTGTAACTTTATGTTCTTAACCACTGAGAAAACAGAGAAGAGCATGGGTCCTTACTCAGAGTGCGCTTGCATCTCCACAAACCTGGCTCTTACTCTGTACAAGGGCCTCCTGCTGCTTGTTTCCATGGAAATGTTGTCTCTTTGGCTGTAATCTTCCACAGTATGACAGAAATCATATCCAACAGCTCAAAGAATGTTCCTAAATATGGTTTAAATTTTTCTTTGGAATTATGCAGATGTGCCACCTCCAGAAAGTGACATGCTTTGCCTTTAAAGATGCACTGCGCAACTTTTCTGTTAGAGGGTCAAAGGTCAAATGTTTTCCTCCATGGAGATGTTATTGCTTTGTTTGGAAAGTTTCAGTATGGCATTAAACCATTGTTTTCTTTTTCTTTTTTTTTTTTTTCAAATTTACTTAGCAGATTACACCTTGCAATGTGTAAAATGAAATCGCACGTTCCTGCTTTTACATTTTTAAAACATACAAACTCAGAACAGGTTGGGGAGCCTGGGAACTTCTTTCACAATTTAACAGAACATTGTAACTATGAAGTAGTTTTATATGAAGTCTGATCTCACCGGCTTTACATACTCTGTCCATTTAGACCACATCTGGTAAAATAAGTCCAGCTGCACTTTCAGTAAAAATGAAATGTTTTCCATTGTGTAGATCTCTTGCACAATGTCAGTCCAGTTCTCAGTTGTTGGTCGTTCAGGTTTAAGCCACTTACTTGTCATTACCTTTTTACTTGCTGCCAGTAGAATATAGAGTAATCTCTTGTTTGTGTTGTTAAGACCGTCTAATATTAAGCTACCAAGATACAAAGCTTCAAATGATAGGGGGAAAACAAATGAAAAAACATTTTGCAGATGTTGATGAATCTCTGACCAGTATTCTTGGAGGACCCCACATTCCCAAAAAAATATGGAAATGATTTGATTAGCCCCATCATTCCCACATCTCCGGCAGGCATCACCTATTCCTTGGTATCTCTTTTGTACCGGTGTAATGAAAAATCTCATTAGGTTTTTCCAACAAAATTCAGGCTGACATTAAACCTTTCTATCTCCAAGGAGGCCAAACCAGTCCAAGTTACAGGTCAGATCTGTGGAGATGTGACACCGTTCACAGTCAGAATGCCTGTTTTTTTTCTAGTTTTTAGCTATAAAACCACCTGTTTTTGAATAAATGTAAGGTATAACAGTTTAAAGTCATACTGTGGAACATTTCAGGACAATGACATATCCATAGAAACAAGCAGGTGACAGACGCCCAACCAAAAAGTGACATAGTGCACCTTTAAGTGAAGATGTTTTCTATAATATTATGATAATGTTCTTGGTGTGTGTTCTTTCCTCCATTGAGTTTCTATTGATTTGTGCAATACTATAGTAACTAAACTACCAGTTTTTTGTTTATTTTTACTACTTTCTACATTTTAGCTAGATAAAGAAGACTTTAAATATATGAAGCAAGATAAATGGAATAATGTAGTAAAGAAAAGTGAAGTATATATCTTGCGTCACATATCTGGTGTCATGAAAACAAAAGAAAACAGAACATTGAATGAGATGGTGTGGCCAAACGTTTGACTGGTTGTATATATTGCATTATTATTATTACATGTTCCTGTTTGTTTTGCAGATGCGGAGGATACGTTTACACTTACAGACTGCACAAAGACAGCCAGGGTTCGTGGGCAGCAGAAGTGAGATCTTGTCTATTAACCTATGACACTGCGTCTTTCACTTCCTCAAACTTTTCTTAACTCTTTATCAAACCTCGGCACATTTAACCTTTTAGCCTTTATTTCTTGTGTAGATCTTCATTTTATAATCAAATGATATGAGTGTTTTAACATCAGTTTTTCAATTTTAGCCTATTTAAATTCTTGCTACCAAAGATACTTCTGTAGTGGACTCTTGAGCACAAAAATGATCAGTTGACTTCCACTATAATCACTATTTTCCAACCTGCCACTGTACAAAGTGTAAAACATGCAATATCAAAGTTGTACATATTTTCTGAAACCTCTGGCTTCAAATTAGTCTTCTGACATATTTTCTGGAAGATGATGTCATTTTACCTTATATGGTCAACAGCGGAAATGCAAGTAATTCACAATTCACCTTCATTATCATCACAATTTTTTTCGGTTGTACTTGTAGGATTGCAGGGGCAACAACAGAAGTATGAAGTTTATAATCAGAAAAACAAAATCAATGTGTAGAACAGCCAAAGTCATGTATTATCACAAAAATGTGAGACAAGCAGGCCTGAACCTGATTACTAGTGGATGTAAGACCACTGGGACTGGATATCAATTGAAGTTGCCGATACGATACATACCTCAATACAGTGCACTTTTTTCAAAACAGTGAAAATGTCAAATGTGTTTCATAAATGTGTTTCCTTCCTCTAAACAAGCAACAGAACTGTAGCTCTGTTACAAAATAATTTTGGAAAATATATAAAAAAATACTCTTGGTGATATATCAATGCTGCAGCCTCCGGTATTGATACTGTATCATCACATTAAAAGATACAATATATTGATATTTCAATATTTTTGCACATTGCTAACTGGGACTGCAGGGGCCACAGTGGGGGCAGCAGTGACTCTAATGCATACTATCTCTGTGTCCTTAGGCAAGACACATTTACCAGTATAAATTTGGTGTGTGACTGATTGGTGATGGTCGGATGGTGCAGTTTTGAGAGCCTCACTTCCATCAGTCTGCCCCAGGGCAGCTGTGACTATAGAAGTATCTTGCCACCACAGTGTGTGAAAGAATATTGCAGTGTGTGTTCAAAAAGGGCTTTTTAAATTAAATTAATCATTATTATCAGTATTAAAAGGCTCAGAGAATCATACTTATACATGATTATAAAAACAACACATGTTGGTGTAAAACTGTATGTACAAAATCCCCTATAATTTCATTATGATGTTTACAGCAGGATTTTGTATGTGCTTCAATGGCCTTTCATTTACATTGTGCTAAATATCTAAGAAATTAAATAAACAGCAAAAAAGTATCTCTGCACATGAATGTAAAGCCAGAGGATTCAGCTCAAGTATGAAGTGGACGTGCACATTTTAGAATGTGTTGGGTTAGTTTAGTCTTTATTTGAAGGGACAATGTACAGAGACATTAAGCTCCTAAAAAACAGAGATGTTCTGCATCAGATTGTAGCTAAATAATCTGCTATTCTTATTACAGCAGGTTGAAAAACAGTGATTTGAAATGGTTCCAATGGGCGCACTTTAGTACATAGTTCCCACAGCGCGTTTATTTGACTCTGACGAAAATCATCAGTGCAAAAAATAATTGTTGCTGTTAATCTTTCACATACACCAGGGTTTAGGAACCAGCACCAAACATCCAGGGTGCAACAATTCAACCGAAAATAATCCACTTTTTGTGATATTTGAACTATAAAATGCAGTGACTAAAAGTTGATAAATAAATGCTAAAAAAAATATGTAAAATAAAAAATGTACAAAATTGAAATATGAATCAAAAGGTGAGATGTCGGTTGAGCAAAACAAAAGTTTGAAAAAATATGAATCCTCTGACTTTGTATAGCAAAATATATTTCACCATTTATTGATAAAAGTAAAAAAAATAATAAAAAATACTATACTAAGAAACTATTGCAAAAGACAAAACTGACTTTTGTTTTGGATTCTAATAGTGAGAGAAAAAAACACACTAGTACACTGCAAAAACTCAAATCTAGCCAAGTTAAAATTGCTTGAGTTAAGAAGATTTTAACATGATTTGAGTGAATTTCAAGTCAAATGATCTACCAACAGAATAAGAGTTTTTGTATTTAAAATATGAAAGTAGATCTTGCTACACTTAAGATAAGAAAAAACAACAACTCTTTGCACTTAAAATAAGGAACAAAATTCAAATGTAGCCTGAACTGAGAAAAACATTGATTCACATTGGTAGATCATTTTACTTGTCAATTGAATCTACTCAAATAAAGTCAAATATTCCTAATTAAAGTCATTTTAATTTGCCTCGATTATTGCTTTTTGCAGTGTGTTTTGCAGTACTGGAGCAATCCGCCCAGCACACAACAGTGAGCACAACATCAGCATGAGTCCATTGTGGTTTTTAAACAGGTTAGATGTTTGCAAACAACAGCATGTCACATCTTTTGCTCCAGGTTACCTCAGGGCAGCACGGGCACTCTTTACTTAAAGGTGCATTGTGTAACTTTTCTAGTGGAGGGTCCATCACCTACTTGCCTCCATGGGGTTGTTATTTCTTTGCCTATAATGTTCCAAAGTAGAGACTAAATCTACTAGAAACAACTGTAATGAATAAATGCTGGATAGATGTGTTTAATGTCATACCACGGAACATTCCAGGCAAAGCAATAACATCGCCATGGAGACAAGCAGGTGCCAGACACTCCACCAAAAGCTTGCAATGCACTTTTAATACTGTTTCAAAGTCAGTACATTACCCAAACTCTACTTTTTACCATCAGTACTCAACAATTATTCTTATTTATTCTTATTTTAAAGCAATACTGTATTTTTTTTTAAATAATCCCAAGTGAGCAGGAAAGTGGGGGGAGATAGGGGGTAGGTGAAAGCAGACATTTTCTGCGCTCTCAGGCCTTGAATGCATGATAAATATTACTCTAACATGCAGGAATTGAACAAAATACAACTTGTTAGATTTTACTAAATGAACTATGTAACTTTTTGGTTGCTTGTTTCCATGGAGATGTCATTGCTCTCCCTGGAATATTCCACAGTATGACATTAAAAAGATTAATCTTATACATTTATTCAATTACAGGTGGTTTTGTAGCTTAAGAATACCTAGAAAAACAGGCATTCTGACTGTGAGCGGTGTCGCCTCTCCACAGATCTGACTTGTAACTTGGTCTCGGTTGATATCCATTAAGACAGGAAAGTTTAATGCCATACTGTGAAACATTCCAGAAAAAGCAATAACAATGAGACAATCCATGGAGGAAAGCATTTGACTGGACCCTCTGACGGAAAAGTTACACAATGCACCTTTAACAATATTTATTAGTGTTTTGTTTTTGTTTTAATGACTAAGTGATAATGTTAATTCTGTTCACATACACACATGCTACAGTAATAAGGAAATGAGGCCCTCCCTCAAACCCATGAACCACAAAATCTCATAGTTTCACTTTTCTCCAGTGGTATTGACAGGAAACGGTGCAGCTTCACCAGAACACGCATATACACACAACCCCTCCGCTGATATATTTGAAAGAACGCATTTGACATGAATTCTTATGGGACGATTCACAAACACAGTGAGATCTGAACATATAGAGACGTTCAAAAGCTGTACGTCTCCCTTGACAACCCGCTACATGTTGCTCCAGCATTTTACCGCCACTCATCTGAACTGACAGCACCAAGAGGACTGATACAGGAAGAAGAGATTTCAAACACACATTTTGCAAACAACTCAATAACATGCCATAGAATTATTCATGCACTACACAGAGTCACTGTAATGAAATATTTGAAAGCTAACTGAAGACTTGTAGAAGACTAAAGACATGTTATGAGGAAATGATTCTGAAATATGCTCAAAGTACATTTACTTTGGCCGGTAAACAAGTGGAAGTAGTATAGAAATGTGTGCGTGCGTAAGAAGTCCTTATTTGGCAAATTCTAAAGCATTATTTTGTAGTTTGATCAGAGCAAGTCTCAAATAAGTCTCAAGTCACTGATCTTTAAGTCCGAGTCAAGTCCCAAGTCAAATATAGGCAAGTTCAAGTCGAGTCTAGAGTCACTGGCCCATAAGTCCAAAACCATAAGTCCAAGTCCTATCAATTATTTAAACCAAAGTACCAAATATATCTTAGATTTTTGCAATTTATATGACTTTTAAGATAAATTGTACTTTAAAAGTCATAGTATATTTATATATGAGTATTTATAGAGTATATAAGAGTTGTAGAAATGTAGAAAGACATTTTTTTCCCCTTTTTTAAATGTCTTCACAAGATCTTAGACTGAATCATTACAGTTAGAATACAGAACGAACTTAAGTTTAAAAGTGCTTCTTAAGTCTTCTCAAGTCACAGGCCTCAAGTCCGAGTCAAGTCCCAAGTCATTGATCTTTAAGTCCGAGTCAAGTCCCAAGTCAAATATAATCAAGTTCAAGTCGAGTCTCGAGTCTCTGGCCCATAAGTCCAAGTCAAGTCCAAGTCGTCTGCTTTGAGCTTCAAGTCGTTTCAAGTCTTTAAACCAAAGTATCAAATATAGCTTAGATTTTTGCAATTTATATGACTTTTAAGATAAATTGTACTTTTAAAATCATAGTATATTTATTTGAGTATTTACAGAGTATACAAGAGTTGTAGAAATGCAAATTTTTCTTTTTTAAATGTCTTGACACGATCTTAGAGTGAATCATCACAGTCAGAATACAGACCAAACTCAGATATAAAAGCGCTTCTTAAGTCTTCTCAAGTCACAGGACTCAAGTCCGAGTCGAGTCCCAAGTCTGAGTCCATTTTATCAAGTCAAGTCTTAAGTCCTAAAAATAGTGACTCAAGTTTGACTCGAGTCCAAGTCACGACTTCCACGTCCCACCTCTGAGTTTGATACAGCAAAAGTACAGCTGTAACTAAATCTAGATAAAGGATATGTAAACTACTCTAAAAGATGTACTGCTTAACATTTCTAGTGGTGGAAATGCTATTGCTCAAAAATATAATAATACCTTCTGTGAATAGGGGCGACTCTCCGCAGATCTGACTTGTAATAGCGTAGTGCTGTAACCTGCTTGTCTCCCGTGTGATGGATTTAGGCGTAATCTATGTATTAGTGAAATAAGGAGTCTAATTTGTCGTATGCACTTCTAACAAAGTCCACAGAACATAATAATACTGAAATAGTGCATTTATTCAGCAGTTTTATTCAAATGGAACATGGGGGCCACTTTAAAGTCTGGATTCATTAGTGAAAAAGACGCTGGAAGTCTTCTCTTGGCGAATCCTTAACTTGGCAGTGGATCCTGAAATGCTTTTTAGTTGACTTTGGACGGACTTTTCGGATGGCGAAAGTGCAGTTACATATTTTTCCCACTTGTCTGGTATAATGAGGAGGAATGGCCTTGGAGAAGATGCATGGGATTTAAAAACTTCATTTATTTTTCATCTGTCACTTCTGAAGCCTTCGCTATTCAATTTCACACGTCATGCGTAAATCCTAAAATATGAACTTTCCTGTTGACTAACAATTATTTGTAAAGATCCCCGGGAGAGGGAGGGAGAGGGGGATGAGAGGGAGAGAGAGATGAGAAAGGAGAGAGGGGAAGAGGAGAAATATAGCGAGAGGGAGAAAGGGGAGAGAGAGAGAAAGACGAGGGGGCAAAGAGAGGGAAAGGTAGAGGCAGAGAGAGAGAGATGGGGAAGGAGAGAGAGAAGGGAGGGGGGCAGGAATACAGTGAGAGGGAGAAAGGAGAGAGAGAGAGAGAGAGAGAGAGAAGGCAAAGACAGAGAGAGGAGGTGAGGGCAAAGAGAGGGAAAGGTAGAGGGAGAGAGAAAGAGATGAGGGAAAGACAGAGAGAGGAGGTGAGGGCAAAGAGAGAGAGAGGGGGGTGAGGGCAAAGAGAGGGAAATGTAGAGAGAGAGAGTAGGAGAGACAGAGAGAGAGGGGGAATGGGGAAAGAGGCGGAGTGAGAGAGAGATCGGGAAGGAGAGAGAGATGGGAGGGGGGCAGGAGTATAGAGAGAGGGAGAAAAGAGAGAGAGAGAGAGAGATGAAGGAAAGACGGAGGGGGGGTGAGAGCAAAGAGATGGAAAGGTAGAGAGAGAGAGAGAGGTGGTCAGAAGGAGAGCAAGAGAAAAGGAGAGAGAGGGATAGTTATAGAGAAGGACAGGAAGAGGGAGAGCGAGGGGAAATGGAAAGAAAGGGACAGAGAGATGTAGAGAGCGAGGAGGGGAGAAAATGAGAGAGAAAGAAATAGATGGAGAGAAGGGGCAGTTAGAGAGAGAGAGAGAGGAGGGGGAATAAGAGAGATCGAGGGATGGCGAGAGAAAAGGAGAGATGAAAGCAAGAGGAGAAAGGAAAGAGAGACAGCGGAACAGAGAAAGGAAGACAACAGAGAAAAGAGAGAGAGATGACAGGCAGATGGAGAGAGCGAGAGAGAAAGATGTTGAGAGAGTGGGGAGTGATGAGAGCGAGGCGGAGATAGGGCCGGAGAGATGAAGAGAGGAAGAGAGACAGGGAGAGCGAGCAGGAAGAAAAAGGGAGAGGTTAGAGTTAGAAAGATAGAGAGAGAAAGAGATAGAGACGGAGACAGAGAGAGAGTTAAAGAGAAAAGAAGGATATTTTGGCTGTGATTTCTCCATCTTTCCTAATTTAGCTCCTCCAAACCCTGGAGGACATTTCCCATCTGAAACCAGTGGGGATAAATAAGAGCCCGCTTCCTTTGCGTATTCCGCCGCCTTCGTCTGCGTCTGGCTCTTGGCTCCCTCCACCAGACGCCATATAAAAATATAATTGACACCATTCGACGCTTTGCTCAATGCACTATTCATGGCATGTGTTCTTCTTCATTCTACCGTGTCTTGGTTCTTTATATGAGGTGAAGAAGCTCATTTGGGCTTCTCTTCTCTTCTGTCTGCTCCATTCATTTCCCCGGGGACTTTGACGGAGAGATGGAGACAGAGACACGCTTCATCCAAGTCTTTTGTGTCTTTTGTGTGTGCGTTCTTTCTTCCCCTTTTCGCCGAGACGACTCCCAGTCCGAGCGCACAACCGTCTCACGCTTTGCGACGAGATATTGGCGTGATTTGGGATTTGAGATGAATTCAGCGAGCTTTTATGTCATGTTTTTGGATAAAGTATAAGTATTTGTTATCAATTGTGCACAGCATTGGTTAATTTCACCATTGTGACAACCAAAAGAGGATGGAAAACATATTTAAAAGTGTACTACGCTGTTTTTCTGTTGGTAAATGAATGCTACAGTGCAAAAAATTCCAGGAAATGCTGCGACATTTCCATGGAGACAAACAAGTGGCATAGCTCCCAACAGAAGAACTACATAGTACACCGTTAACTATCAGAAGAAGACTGACGTAGTTCGGTTACTACATTACTACTTCTTATCCTTATAAAACAAAAACTGGCATGAAGTTTATTTCCACTTTTCAGAACCACCTCATAATGTGTTGCCGTTATTCAAACACAAATGTATGATCACTGTCAATCAAAAGCTCTTTATGTCATAATATGAATGTGGCAAGTTTGTGGACACAATATCAGTCAGAAACGGATAAAGTGTATAAGTGTGGATTTTCAGATTATATCAAAAATATAGTGTATCTCCCTTAGACTTACAGTAGGTACAGGCCCCTGCCCCCCATCTAAGAGAATGAAATGATCAAACTCTCGGACGTCAGCATGTTCTGTTCAGACACCCCATGACCACAAAATTAAACCTGAATAGATCATGCATTGTTTTGTCATCTCCAAAGTTATACAAGTCGTGGATATTTTTAAAACATTTTATTGTTAAAGGGACAGTCGGGAATTTTGGACATAGGACCTCATTTCCTAGCGAGCCAGAGTGTTGGAGACGTGTGGAGACACTTTTTTAAATATTCCATCCAGTCCTTGTATTTGCAGAGGTCACTGGTGCTAGGCCAGTGCATGTCAATGGCCATAGTTATCCTGCCACTAAAAACAGTCTTACCCACTCCACAAAGCACCTGAAGCAAATCTATTATTACACCAGACTGTCCATGTAAATGTCTGTTTTGATAGAATAATTTTTGAAGTAAAACCAGCCTTGCATTTGAAGGATTTATGTCTGAGCAGCAGCAGTGAGTTGTACTTCCTGATAGAAAGCTTGGCAGCAGTGGACTGACCTAGAACTTATCTTACCCGCAAAGTAAAATTCCGCTGCTGCTGAGAAACTAGTCCCTCAATATGCGATGAGTCATGCGATGCAATGTTAGTTTTATTTCAAACATTATTCTATAAACACAGACATTTACATCGACAGTCTGGTGTAATAATAGATTTGCTTCAGGTGTTTTGTGGAGTGGGTAAGACTGTTTTTAGTGGCAGGATAACTATGGCCATTGACATGCACTGGCCTAGCACCAGTGACCTCTGCAAATACAAGGACTGGATGGAATATTTAAAAAAGTGTCTCCACACGTCTCCAACACTCACTAGTTCACTAGGAAATAAGGTCCTATGTCCAAAATTCTGTCCCTTTAACATTTGTTGAATATCCTATTTGAAATAGTGCAGAGGATCTACATTCAGTTGCGCCTTCTCTAATACTTTTTTTAAAGGTGCACTGTGTAACTTTTCGGTTAGGGGTCTGTCACTTGCTTGTTTCTATGGATATATGTGTGTCATTGTTCTTCTTAGAATGTCCCACACTATGACATTGAAAAGATTTACCTTACATTTATTGAATGTCAAAAATACCTAGAAAAACAGGCATTCTGACTGTGAGCAGGGTCGCCTCTCCACAGATCTGACCTGTAGCTTGATCTGGTTTGGTCTCCATGAGGATAGAAATGTTTAATGTCATACTGTGAAATATACTGTGAAAAAAAAAGCATTTGATGGACCTTCCACCAGAAAAGTTACACAATAAAACGTGAACATGTATTTGAAAATACTGTATTCCAAATAAAGTCTTCTTCCATTTCTCGTGTGTTTTTCCAGACCTCTCCCGGGGTGCAGAAGAGATATTTCCGCCACATCAAGAGCCTGATCAGTGCCTTCCAGAAGCCAGGCCAGGGTCTCGCCATGCCCCTGCTGTACCCTGTCACCGCGGAGCTGAGGGGGCAGGCTCGCAGGGGGGCTGACAGGGGCGGCGACAAGGGCACCAACAAGGGAGCTGACACACCTCCCAACGCTTTCAAATTCACACCGGGTGCTCCTCCACGCCTCAAATCTGCACCGTCTACACCTGCTTCGCTCTGAGAACACACAGACTGTTTAGGGACAGACCCCGATCACCACAAGCTCAATATGAACTTTATGAGTCAGGACTGTCGCCATGGAGACTTCTCTGCTGTAATGACTGTACAACGCATTTCCTATAAATAATGGAAATTTCAAAAACAAGACTCTGAGTTTGTGAGATCCGTTAAATGTGTTATCTTATTTTGAGTATCAGATCAGAACTATTTGCGTTTTGGTGTAAATGTGATTTTTGTCAACATCTTTTTCTTCTAGCTTCATTTTGCAAAATTAGCAGCAAAATTATCCTCATTTGTTCAGAGGGAGGTCATTAAGAACAAAAGATGTCTTGAGTTTAAATAAGATACTTAAAGCTGTGGCCAGATTACCACCTTTGAAACCTTTGTTGCTATATAACTTTTTTAACTTCTTCAAATTCTGTTCCGCCAGAAAGTATAATAACAGCAAAACTTTGTTCCTTGTGAAACTTGCCAAATGCTGCATGTAATAAGACATAAACATAAACATTTTCTGATCTAAACTTGAAAGAAAGACCAGTAATACTCTGACATGAGAGCTGATTGGCTGTACTAGCGATTCCTTAGAGCTGTTCCATTTACACTGTTTGAAAATCAGGTCCCATGTTTTTAAAAAAAAACAAATTATTATATTATATTATCAAAATGACTCTTGTGACCTTTAAAACATGTTGTAATGTTGTTACCTCCTCAAAAACAAACCTGGAGTTGTGTTATGTTTCATTCTCACATTTTTGAGTAATCCCGCATAATTAGTCAAGCCCAAAATGCTCAGTTTCACCTTGTGATGTCATCAAACTTAAAGTTAACAGCGACCTTTTACCTGTAGTTCAGTAGAGATTGGCAGTTCCAGGGCTGAAATTATGCTTTTATTATTATTATTATTATTATTATTATTATATATGGTGTATGGATTTCAAAAACACACTGGAGCACTTCCTGTATTCAGATTAGAACTAGCATAATGTAGATAAGGCAAGTTCTAATATTCATGTTTGAAAGAATAAAAAAAGAAGGCTTAAAATAATGTGCTAACCCAAAGTAAAGGTTCCTTCCTGTTTCTCTGAATTGTTATGAAGAAAAAAAGTCTTAATAAAAATATATATACTTTTTAATGTGGACACCCTCACTTCATTTTTAACCACCCACTTCCTTGTTGTAGATGTTCTGCTTTTCAATGTGTGGTTATAAGTTTTCCTAAAGCAATATTCCCACGCCGTAAAGAGAAAAGGTACAGCACAGAAGTAGGCAGAAAATATGCAAATCCATACCTCCAGTCTAAATCTGTTCTTGGCTGCGTGGGTTAAATCGCCATAACAACTGTCTTTAAATAACACGCCTGCAGGAACTCAGATCTGTACTGCGGTGTTTTTGTTGTGCATTTGAGTTTTTATTATATTTTTGTCTCATAACTGAATGTAAAATATTAAAATGCGGCAACGTTAATATCCCATACTGCGAGCTGACAATATTGTGCTGTGCTTTCTTAATGTGATTCTGTTCTGTGAGCGGGAAAGAAAATAAATCTGATTGGTTTCAATAAATGTCCCTTTTTCAAACCAGGTCACTCTTATACATTGTGCGTATATAACATAATGTGAAGCGAAAATTCAATTTGACATATTGAAGTCAGTGATTTCCATAGAGAGACCACGGACGGCTTGGAAGGTAGGAAGGAAGGGAGGGAGAAGGGGAGGGGGGTAAAAAAAATCTGCCCATCATTTGATTGACAAACTCGGAGAAAAAAATAGAAGAATAGGGAAAGAGAGAGACGGGGAGAGAGATACACCAAGAGACATTCCGCTCGGAGAATTGGGAACGCAGCGGTCTCCTAGCAACCGGACATTCCATTCCATTCCGTCCGCTCTGTTTCCGAGTCTGGACAGTATCGGGAGCGGAGGAGCATATGGGCATATGAGGTTACATCGCGGGTTGATCAGATGGAAGACAGAGAGAAAAAAAAAATATGCTAAAAAAAAAAAAAAAAAACAGAGAGAGAGAGAGAGAGAAAAAAGAAAGCTGTATGTTTCACCTGCCAGCATGTCTGAACATATGCATGGACTGGCTTTGCACGCAGGAGCCCAGCAAACAAGCACAAACAATTAATGGTGGGCAGATGGTTTCAAAGAAGGAGGAGGAGGGGGCGGACCGGCCAGACGGACAGGGAGGTAGATTAGACTTAGCGAAGAAAAAAAAAAAAAAAAGCGAGAAAGAAAAAAAAAAAAAAGTAAACAAAAATGAAAATTTAACGCTTTCTTGTTAAACTTTTTTTTTTTTTTTTGGGGGGGGGGGGGTTGAGTTGGACGCGCTTCACACACGGGTTGATTTGATTGACGTTTACTAATGAGTGGAGACAGCCAAACCAGGTCCTGCCCCTTCTGTACCCACACACCCACACACAGAGCATCAGCTGTCAGCCTCTCTCTGCCTTTTTCAATGCGATTTCCCTTCCTCTGAACACACAGGTTTGGAAAGTCTTAATGATGGCTGGTAATGGCGGTACAAACTCACAAACTTCCTCACCAAAACAAGAACAAAGCAACAAATGGCGTCTTGAGACTTCCAGAAGGCAAAATAATAAGCAATGAGCAAAACCACGCTGTGATGAAAACCCAAGGAATGCAATCTGGTAACTCACACATAATAACTTTAATCAGCATTGTAGTCCAATAAAGTCAGATTTTCAGCGAGAATATTTACTATAGAGCCATGTATAATTCTTTGCAAAAAATGTAACTTGGTTTTCTATTGATTAACAATACTGACACTTACTTATGAACAACAGAAGTCCCAGATTGGAGCACTTTTTTCATTGTGAGAAAGCACAGGCTATATACAATCTTGATTTGATTTGAATACACTCATACAAACTACCATAGGAGTACCCCAAAGAGCCCCGCGTAGGTTGTTCTCATTGTTTCTTGTCTAAAGGGGGCGATATAGAGTCAGACAAGGCCGCTTCTCTTACACAATATGTAAACGACAGAATATCGTCCGGAGGTAAAACCATGTAGGAACTCAAATGGCAACCGGAGATCTCTTGGAAATAGGATTTTTCCGAACTGGGAATCCTATTAAAGAAGTTCATCTCTACAGTTTGCTGATAAAGAGTGTCGAAACGGCGAAAAAACATAAAAGTCAGCAAGTCAATAATTCATGTCGGGTCTAGGATGCCGGGAAATACAAAAAAGCAAAGCAACAGCCAAACCACACAGCTTGTGCCACTGTTAGAAATCGGAGAAACTAGACGATAATAATAAAATACCATCATTTTGTCACAATTAAAGGCATTTGGAAATCATTTTTTCCTTATAGATCTCTCTGTTCGGTCCGCTGCTTGTTCCATCTCGCCGTCTTTTCCGATACAGTATAGAAACAGTTGAACAAATCAGAGTAGAGTATAAACAGGCAGTCTTTGGTGGGGCGGGGGGCTTGGTTTTCGCTTTGTCTCTGTTACCTTCCGCCCACTTCGCTTAAAGTCATGAAGTGAATGTTAGCGGGGCAGTCGGACAGCTCTGGTTGCTGCTCTATGGGGAGGGAGTAGTAGCCGTCGTATCCAGGGACACGCCCAGTCGAAAGGAGTTGCTGTTTTTCGGCATCGCTCCAAACCCGACTTCCTGTATCTCCTTGCTCCAGTCGCCTCCTCTCTCTTTCCCAGGCCCCATCCACCGCCCTCCTCCGAGCTTCCTCACGTACGCGCGCCCACTCCTCCTCCTCCGAGCCCCCGTAGCGCACGCACAAGCACAGCGCCCCCTGCTGGAGAGTGATGTCAGCAAAGCGTCGAGTCCTGCCGTTCACATTGGCGCTCATTTGGGAGACGCTCACGTTGACCCCTCCCTCCAGGACGCGCCCCCCCACACCCAAACCCAGCGCCAAGTCGTCCTCGATGGGGCGGGACTGCAGGAAGTGGTGAGTGTCGCAGCCCTGCACGGTAAAACTCAAACCGCTCATGTGGGCGGCGCCGTTCAGAATGGCCGCCACTCGTCTGCTGTCCTCGCTGGCCACGCCGATGACCTCCGCGCTGACCCGGCCGTGGGAGACTGCGAAGCGGATGGAGGGTCCGAGGAGGGAGGGTCTGGAGGCGAAGGGAGGGGGGCGGGGCGCTCTGTGGCAGGTGGAGCCGACGGGCTGAGGGACCAGAGGGAGGCGCTGTAGAGAGATGAAGCTCCTCAACTGACGACGAAGCTCACACTGGATCCCCAACACCACCTGCAGCAGATGACAAGGTTAAGTATTTACTATACTGTGGAAAGTTAAAACTCTTCCAGACCTAAGGGCAGTTTTAGTACATTTGTCCTCGCCTGGATTTATTTATTTTTTCTTAATTTCGCTATTAAAATGCCCCCTTTTACCCCCTAATGAAGCATTGTACATCCTTTTTTTCACTACAACCTGTTATTTCACAATCGGCTACTGTAGTTGTGTCATATATGAAAAATAAATAAATAAATAAATGAATAAAAAAAAAAAAAAAAAAATTAACGGAAAATAAAAATGATACAAAACATACAGCAAACATGTATAAACAACTTTTTGGACATAAAAAATCTTAAATTTAGGGCCTTAGGTACAAAAGTGCAAAATATTAAGTCTAAAAATATCCTTATTGCCCTCAAAACCCAAAAAAAAAAGTGCCAGTCATGGAAACAGGTCGTGTCAGGTTCAGGGCACAGAGCCACATCACTTCCTGCATTTCCATGGTGTTTATTACATTTGTATTTGTATATTTTGAGTGAAAGAAACCTTTCAAATAAAAACAGCAAGGGATGTGCATTTATGCAAACCAAGATGTGTAATTTGCCATTCATTTGAGAAATAATTGCACTTTTTTGGCTTTTTCAATTGTTACGAACACAGTCGCTCAAAGCAGTCGACCATTTTGACTCTATACGCTCTTTGGCAAAGTTTGGGCCAATCACAATGGATGGAGCACGTGTGTGTTTGGTGGAAAAAAAGTTCCTATTGGACACTCGTTTCAAACTAACTTTTTCTCTTTTATGGTTGGAAAATTATGTCCTTTTATATTTTAAGTGTCCTGTTCCATGTTCCATTAAATAATTGTACTTATTAAATCATAAATCTTTCTTAATTCAAACAATCTTAACTTGAAATTAGTTTTTTCAGTGTATTTACTATATTTCAACTTTTTACTTGTACATATTTATATAATTATGCCTTTGCCTTTATTTTATACCTGCCTCCTGCTATTTTTGCAAATTATTTAGAATTTATTCTTACATTTATATTTTTTCTCTTATATTGTAAGTGTAACCAATAAAACTTAGTGTCTATTCATATGTGCAGTTTATATTCTCTCTTCATATCAAAGTAGCAATGATGAGATTTGTGTTGCTGCAAAAATAATAAAACCAAGCAGAACAGTTTTCTCTTCTCTCTTACTGTATTGTTTGCAGAGCCGTCATATAATGTAGAGGTGACATTTTCTAAACTTAGACAATTTACTTTTCTTAATTATAGTTTCACAAAATCACACCAAAGAAACAGCGTGTGTGCTGAAGTTCACAGTTCAGTAGCAGGTTTAACAGGAGAAATAGACAACTTTTATTCTATACTTTCAATGTACTTTTAAAACTTTAGATATAAAATAATCACGTTAATAATATTAATGTTAATAAGGTTAAATGATTTAAAATGTGTTCTTTCTTTGTTTTAATAAGAGGCAATGTATCGTATTAAAATTCTATTTCCAAGGAGACAGATTTAAAAGTGCACCATTTTTCTAGTGTAGGCTCTGCCACCTGCTTGACTCTTTGGTGATGATATTGCTTTGCCCAGAGTGTTCCACAGTATAGCATTAAATGTGTATATCTATATTCATATTGCATGCATTTATTTAGGTGTTTTATTGCATAATTGTGCATTCTCTTACTAGCTTCTCCACATTTCTCATCTGACCTGTAGAAGCTTAAGTTTAATGCTATACTGTGGAAATTTTCAGATAAAGCATTAGCATTAATAAGAAGCAGGTGACATACCCCCTACTAGAAAAGTTACATAGTGCATCTTAAAATATGTGCATTTTATAGGCCTAATGATTTTCAAGTATCTCTATGACTTTTCTTCAATTCCAAATGCAGTTGGTTTGGAACATAAGATAAACAATACTTCAACTTCTAGTTTATGGATGATATTCTGAGGACTTTTGCCCATTCAAAACTTTTTTATTGTTAATCACTACGGCAACGGCGCTAGATTCCCATTGCTCTGAAACCCCTGGATAAAGAGGGCTGGTCCATTCAAAGTAAAGAAGTACCCGTGTGATTTGTGTCAGCTCCAGTTGACATTAAGGGGAGCTGGGCTGGTAAACACAAATCACTGAAAACAAGAGGGCAGGTGAAAGGGTAATAATAATAATAATGAAGTAGACTGTAGACTGCTTTATTGTGTGTTTTAAATTGTCTTGATTTTAATATAAAGTATTTTGGTTACCTCAAGTATTATAAAGGGCGGTAGAAATAAAATTTGATTGATTGAATATTATTGGCATTTGCAGGTGGTTTCTTCTCACCTTGGTCGTGTCCCA